GGCTCTCCTGGGGTCAGCACCGCTATGTTTGTTGCTGCAGTCATGCTTCTTGAAGCCAGCCTCTGCAGACTCCATGGTGGTTGGACCGGGGAAAGTGTCCCTACCATCCCTATCGACTGTATCTAGTCTGGCCTTTAGCACTTGAATTTCTTCACTTTTCTCCCGCAGCTCCATTTTTAGCACTCGTATCCTGATGCTGACCATCTTGCGGATCTCGGACAGCGCGGTCTCCAGCACCACGGTGATGTTTCTGCCGAGGTGTTCGGTGATGTCGCTGACCGAGCACAGCAGCTCCTCGTCGGGCTCCAGCTCCAAGAAATCTGCGTCGGCTCGGCTCGCGGACCCGGGAGGCTCCATGAAGGCTCCGTGCAGCTCGGGAGACAGGCTCGTTTCAGCGAAACTGTGGTTCCTTTTACGACTCATAGGTTTACTTGGCCAGAAGCTCTATTTTATGAAGAGTTTGGATAGCTAAAAGCTACTCAACAAGCTAATGTTTGGATGATGCTGAAAGACAGTAGTTAGGTGTATCAAACTCACACGAGTAGTGCCGGATGTCACAGGTATCTCCTTTCAAAACAAAATCACTATCATGTCAAAAGACTCACTATACCTTTGTTTTGAAAGCATTTAACGGATGTGGCCCTGTTAACAGTATTTTACTTGACATACAAACACAACAGAGTTGCAGTAATGGCTCAATTCGGCAGAGTTTAGATCCATGTTCATAAGTAGCGCCCTCTAGAGTACAGTAGAAAACCAACTGTTACAGTTATTATATTAGTACTTTCTGCATATTGTCAAAAGTAAGGATTGTTACATTGTAACTAAATTGTTTCGCTAATGGTTTGAACATTATTTGTTCATGTTGTTATAGATTACATTATTTTAAATTATATTACCTCTGGGTTGCGTGGAAAATATCGTATTTATCCTTTAAGATGAGATAAAGACAAGATATACTTTATTATTCCCAAATTGGGAAATGTTTTCGTTGCAGGTGCATGTAAAACAAGTATTGCACATAATTAGAAATAAAGAGTAAACATTCAACAATTATACAATATAAACATCTCAAAATAGAAGATAAAACAGAACTAAAAGAGTAAAAGTATAAAAGTTGGTCAACTTTTATACTTTTACTCTTTTAGTTCTGTTTTATAAAGAAAAAATATGTAAACTATCTGACAAATAAAACACTATTGAAGGGCTAAATTACAGCTAACGCAATATAAAAGTGGGATATTATTTACATTTATTGTGCAAAATGGCATATTAAATGAAATATAAATGTAAAATGTACAGTGAAGTTAAAAGTCCAGTTAACAGAAGAGAAACTCTGGAGCAGTGTTGGACAGAGTTATTGCTGCTGGCAGGATGTTCTCCTGTCTGTCCCTGTGACAGCCGAGTTTCATGATAATACACTTATATGTAGGCTTATCTAATAAACCAACACGTTTGCAGTTATAAATGTTAATATGTCATTAATTAAGGGCATTTTACCACCAGTTGTAAATATTGGTAAATGGCATAAAGATGGATTATGATCTAAATGATAAAATCTGTGAGCTCCAAAGAAAGTGAAGGTATGGCCATCGCATTCCTCACACATTCTAAAGAGTCTTTTCACAACCTGACAACTTCAGATGTTTTTCTCATTATTAATGGCAAAAACTAATATATATATAGCATCTTTTTAAGAAGTCTTTACAAATTAAAACCCTTATATAAAGGGTTCAAGTTATACATTAGTAATGATAATTTGAATTCCCAATATTGCAAATATTGCGCTAATACCCCAAATTCTCCTAAATTCCTTTTTTATGTGGATATCGTGTACACCACTGCACTTTGTATGCTGCTGCTAATTGGCCGTCTTTGTCTGCACGCAGACTTTCCCATTGGTTGGGTTTTATATAATAATCTCTGCTTGGGCTGGTTCCCTCTTATATTTGCACATATATGTGTACAAAACAAAGTCTATATGGCCTGCGCTCCTACCATTTTATTCAGATGCTGGTTCCTAGTGAGAACAGAACTGGGTAAAAAAGCTTTTAAATATGCTGCCCCCTCTGCTTGGAATAATATACAGAAGGAGCTGAAACCGTCAGATTTGATCACCTTGGGGGAATTCAAGTCCATCTTAAAGGACAGAGAACAACAATCCATTGGTCGATGTGATTGCTATATCCCATAATTGAAGTTGTTTTAAATTGTGCCAGTTTTTAATGTTTTATAATAGTTTATTTTATTTGCATATTGGCTTGTTAATGTGCCATTTAATTTGTGTTTTACGACCGCTGTATTTGTCTGCCTGTTTTGTCTGTGTTTTATCTGTTGTAACTTTGTTCATGCTGCCTTTCTTGGCCAGGTCGCTCTTGGAAAAGAGATTTTAATCTCAATGAGACTTTTACCTGGTTAAACAAAATAAAGGATATATATTATATATTAAAAACACACTGTTAAACTAGATTAAAGGGACACGTTTCTTACTTTTACCAGTCATTATGATTGATTAAGTCTGTTACACAAATTAACAGTTGTAATATAAACAAAGTAGTTTTTACGAAAGCCAGCCCAACATTTGATCACCTATTATCAAAAGTTGTCTATTGCAACTTTAAGTTAATCTAGCGCAGGGGTGTCAAACTCAATTTCATCGTGGGCCACATTAGCATTATGGTTGCACTCAAAGGGCCGGTTTTAACTATATAAATACATAATATATATGAAATAATGTATTATATTACATGATTGCCTCTGCATTGGATTTTTATGGGATAGGGTAATAACTTACTAACTACGTCTGAAAGCAGAAGTCTAGGGCAAATAATTGCAAGTCTCTTCAGTGCGCATGTCACAAAATGAGATGCATTGTGGGACATATGTAGTTTATGGGCAACGTGCTTCTGTAAGATAAGATAAGATAAGATGGACCTTTATTAATCCCCGTGGGGAAATTCAGTAGTTTAACAGCAACAGGGTAAGATTGAAAAACAGGACAGCACTGATTCACACAGATTATTACAATTAAGGATAAATCAAAGATAAAAAAACAACAACTATAAAATAAGAAATTAATTAAAATGAACATATATAGATATACTGTAAAGTAGCATGTAACCGTATAATAAACGTATTATATTCTTTGCAAGCTCTTGCGGGCCACATAAAATGAAGTTTCGGGCCAGATTTGGCCCCCGGGCCTTGAGTTTGACACCCCTGATCTAGCGGATAGGAATTTTTTGGAAAGTGGGTGCATTTTCCTGCAGCATTTTTAAGTCTACACAATCAATGCTTTTTTATTTTGTGGATGAATACAATGACCATGAACTATCTACTATAAAAGCAGGTTTAAAATAAAATTGAATAATGGACTCTTACATTTGATGTAAATGCCCAATTTATGAAGTCGCACAAAAATAACCTCAGTCCACTGCCAGTAGCAGTATATCAGGGATTCACACACATCAAAAACCACGTGCACTTTACACCACTTTGTCATGTGACAACTACCGTGTGTGTGGAGTAAAAATGTAATAAAAAAAGTATGATATGACATCGTGCAGAATGTGTCGTGCTGAGCCACCATGTATTTTGTGATTGTGTCCGTAAGCTGCTGCCATAAATTCCTGAGAGCTTCTCCAGTTTTAGAACAACACTGCTGCAGCTGACAGGGGAACTGACCGAGGACAGGAAGTGCTGAGTGTGTTCCTGCAGATGTGTGAGGGAAACACACACTCTGGATTCAACACTGACCCAAACACACACACAGAGAAACTTTGCTGGAAAAGTTTGGGATAAAAAGAGTGTTCTTTGGTTACGTTTCTTGCTGATTGTGAGAGCATGGGTAACTGAAGCCCTGTGACCCATTTAGGGATTCTGTAATGGAAAGAGCTTTATTTGTTCAGTGAGTGATTATTAACCTAAACCCACACTTGAAATTTGAGGAGGGATTTTAGAAGCATTTCATACTTGAATCTGAAAAATAATAGTAAAGGAAGGATCTTGCTTTTTGAATAAGTATCAGAATGAATGAAACTTCAATAAAAATCACAAGTTGAAAACCAACAGAAAAAATGTGATGTGGGTTTAGGCTGTCAGCATTATATCAAAGAGTGTGAGTCAAGTTAACCGAAGTACAACAGGAAATTGAGTGAGTGTGATTTCAAAATAAGAGCGTGAGGTTTTGACCGAATAACTAATATAATACATTTTCGAACCCACTTTAACGCACTGCTCAATTCTAACAGAAACATCGTAAGGTAACACAGTAGAACACTCGAGTTCAATGCCAGTTTGATATGATCTGTAAGTAAGTACTGATGAAAACAAACAAATAAATAACCATACAAATAAGTAAAGAACAAAATAGGTGAATAAAACCCAAAATATCAAAGCCTTTTTACACACAGAGATACGTTTTAATATATAAATTGAATCTCCCTCCAAGTTTATAATGTTGAAGTGTTAGTATTTATTTTATCGTTTTCAATTGGCGAAATGATCACATAATAACCTCTATTAACCATTATATCAGTAGATAACAAACCACATATTCAGTGTGAACTGTAAATATAGCAAAGGCAATTTCGTTTTATTCAAATATGAATAAAATAATAAAACTCCTCAAAAAAATATGATGCAAACTTTTGAATGTAATAATACAGCAACGCTTTCTTTTGATTGACCTGAGAGAAACCTACATCACGATAAAACGTGTGCAAACTAAAGACTTAGATTAGACTTGATAATATTTCACATCATTATTCCAAATCTGTAAAGAAACTAAAGGTATTAAATACATGTAGTGGAGTAAAACATTGACCTCTGAACTGTAGTGGAGTAGAAGTACAAAGTAGCATGAAATGGAAATACTCAAGTAAAGTACAAGTACCTCATATTGTACTTAAGTACAGTACTTGAGTAAATGTACTTAGTTACTTCCCACCTCTGCTTATAGGTCAGCTGAGGTCAAACGTTTTGACAATGGGACTTTTATTTTGAAAGGACACATCAGGATGTTATGGGTCAGCTTGACTCCCGCCTCTCATACGGAGTGTAGTAGACCGCTCGATGCAGGGCATGTGACGGAGAGCTGCTCACTGATCCCCGGGGACCGGACGCTTGTATCGGACATGTCTTCCCGGCCGGACCGAGACACCGGCAGCCGGTACCGGAGGAAGAGCTCTACCGACGGCCAGCACCGGGAGGAGAAGTCACACCGGCACGGCAGAATAGGTATCTGTACTCATACTTATAATACTTTACCGATAGGAGCATGAATTACTCTACACATTTGAGGTACTTTTTATTTAAACGCATAACTGCACTACATTTATTTTCCAGATTCAGTACTTTTACTTAAGTACTATTCTCGATGCAGTACTACTTGTGTGGTATTAGTACTTTTACTCAAGTAAAGAATTGTAATACTTTTTCCACCACTGTATCAATATCATATGATAATTTTTTGCAACATTTTATATACACAACATTTTAAAAAGTCGTGATCTAAGAGTTAAATAAAAGTATTTTGTGTATTTAAAAAGTAATCTATAGTGTACCAGTTATAATTGGCTAATGGACAATATAATAAATTAACTATCCCTGAGTATTCACCCTAATAACAAATAGTATTTATAATTAAAGTATGTGATTTGGTCATGTTTACGGTTGTTATTATTTTATCCTTAATCCTTGTGGATCCCCTCCAGTTTAAAAGAGCTGCATTTAAATAATAAAAGTCTGGTTAGCTATAATTATAATGTTTAAAACCTTTAAAATTCATTAAAAGATCAATAATCTATGAATATTATAATATTATTTGTATTGCTGGACATAACGTAGTGTCACACTGGATACTTCAGTTTCCCATAACACACTTGTGCAACCGACTGGCTCCAAACAAGTTGTGATGTCAACATTGCTGCTGATATGGTGTTAAACTGACATTTAAACTCTGCCAAACATATCTGTACAGTGAAGCAAAATGAAACAAATTATATTACTTTAATAATCACTCATACATCCCAGATGTACTTGCTTTCTCATCAACAGTGACACCTTGAAGCTGCCTAACACAATTCTCCAATTGCAGAAGACCCTAACCCATAAGCCACAAGCTCTGTGCTTAAAATAAAAGTAAGCCTCTTGCCATGTTGCTCACGTTCACTTCTTCATGTTTCTAACAGTGCGTGGATTCTCCAGAGATTCTGCAAGTCTAAAGAGAACTGTCTCCATATGTGAGGAAAACTTCCCAACAGGTAAGAGACTGGAATACTCCGGTCGTGTTTAGATGGTTACTCTAAATCTTTGAAAACTCTGGCAGGACTAGGAGAGCTTTTCTGATGTTTTGAGGTCAATGCCTAATCTCAAAGTTTGTGCTAGAGCTTTGCAAAATAAGGGTTACCATCCAGCCAACTATCCTAACCTTTACCATATCTGGGTATTGAATGGTTAAGGGTATTGACCCTTGGAATGGCTGACCATTGCTAATCATGGCTAACAAGATCACATAATAATCAATTGATTCCATCTAGAAAAATAACACCTTTTTGAAATATTGCTATAAAAGTTGATACAGAAGATGAACCCTAATGACTTTCTGCAACAGCTGGAGTGAGCTCAGGCAATGGACTCAACAGCACGACTCAGAAACACAAAGACAGTCTATACTTGGCAAAGTTCGGGACACAGTTGATACGTAAGACAGGAACCCAAAACAGGCGAGGAGTAGGCAAAACTGGGTCAGGAAACGTAGTAAGATCAGGTACACGATAAACACTAATCACTGGGAGAAACTGCTGGAACACTTGACTCGGAGGTACAAAGAGGAACTGGTACCGAGGGGAGTGGAGACACACACTATAAACACAGGATGATACTGGGGCACAGGTGAGACTAACTGAGATGATACACAGGTGAGACTAACTGAGATGATACACAGGTGAGACTAACTGAGATGATACACAGGTGAGGAACAATCCAGAGTGGTGACTGGAACGAGAAGATGCGTAACGATATAAGAGAGAAATTACAAAATTGCAGAAACAGTTAACCTGAGAGGACCTTACACTTCCGTAAACTCCTACATTTCCGTTTAGCGACCCCATCTGGTCAAAACCTTCAAAACTGATGACATTCCCATCAGTCTCAGCTGTAGGCTGCTTTGTGTTATACACTGATAAACAAATGTTAGCATGCTAATGTGCTAAGCTAGGATGGTAAACGTCATACCTGCTTAATAGCGGCATGAAAGCATTGTTAGCATGTTAGCATGTTAGTATGCTTCAGTTAGCATTTAGCTCAAAGCACCGCTGTGCAGTGGTGGAAAGTAATTAAGTATATTTACTTAAGTACATTTTGAGGAACATGTGCTTTACTTGAGTATTTTCATTTTATGCCAATTTATACTCTACAACATTTTAGCAGCAAATATTCAACTTTTTACTCGCTACATTCATTTGACATTGACAACATAAGTTACTAGTAACTTTTGCTAGATTTTATTATTAATCGACACATGAAATCAACTAACACACTATAATGTACTTTTATGGATGTAAATACCTTGCAGTATAACATATATTAATGTTATGTCATCCAACAGCTGCAAAATGCAAAATGATACACACATGAATCTATTACTAATTATAAACCAGTGGAATAGTTTTTCGAAAATATTCGCTTTAGATAATGCATACATTTAGATTTACGACTTAAGTATATTCTGCTGCTAATACTTTTGTACTTATACTTTTGAAGGCAGGACTTTTACCTTTAACAGAGTATTATTACTCTTTTACCTAAGTATAAGATCTGAGTACTTCTTCCACCACTGCAGCTGTGCCTATACAGCCTCACAGTGGTCTCTTAATGTTATAATCACATATGTCATATTATTTCCCAAAGAAATAAAGGTGGCACTGAAGTCCTGCTAGTCACCCCTTGCAGTTTAGTTGGAGAGGATATTTCACGAGTAAAGAAATAAATCATAAAATATTGATTCTCCACTTGGACGAGTCACAAGAAATCACATGACATCAGTAAAAGTCATGTGGGAGAATTTGAAGTGTTTTATACCTTGAACCTGAGTTCCTCTGGAGTCACTGATTCATCTGTCAGGTGATCATCATCTGCTGAAATCACAAGATGAGCTCAGGTAGCTGCAGGAGCTCAAACACATACACTTCTTGAACCACTTATATCAACCAATTATTATTTGTATTTGAAATACATACCTTCATTATAACACTGAACTTGGTTAGGTGTTGTTACAACTGCAGCAAACACCTCAGGTCATTCATTGTTGTTCTTTTTAGCAAACATCAACAAGAGAGGTCGTTTCATCTAACTGCATTTGATGTAATTAAAACACTCATGAAGATGTGCTTTACTGCAGTTGACCTTTTTTATGCAGGTTTACTGAGTAGCTAAGTAATTAAAGTTACATTTAAATTGGGCTATAATACACTTCCTAGTCTCCTTATGGCACCTATAACTCACCTAAAGGTATGCTGTTACATAGAGACACCTTGACATGCTATGTGATATTTCTCATGCAACACTGAGCAGAGGGGAGTCCAATCATTCAGTATTCAGGTACAAGTAAAAGTCCGGCATTCAAAATTGTACTTAAGTCAAATTTGAAAAAGTATACGCTTCAAAAAACACTTTAAGTATCAAAAGTATACTTGTTTTGCAGAATGGCCCATTTAAGCAACATATATTTTTAATTATTGTATTACAATAATTGATGCATTCATGTGTTCATCCCTTCAATGTTGCTCTTGGTAACATTGGGGTTTATTTGAATTACTTGATATACTGCTGGGTAGCTTAACCAATAATAATATTTGATCATGTATTAGTTGATTTATATTTCATATTAATAACCTAAATCTGCAAAGTAACTAGTAACTTAATATGAAAAATAAATGTAGTGGAGTTAAAAGTATAAAGTAGCAAATGTGGAAAAACTCAAGTAAAGTACAAGTACCTTTTTTTAGTAAAGAGTAAATGTACTTTACAACACTGTGACACAGTTATGGACAGTACCTCAAACATGACATTTATAAGCATTTTAATTACATATCTGGTTTTGTAATCCACTCACATAGGGTGGATTATGTTCATTTACATTCAGTTCAGCAGCTGTGACTGATATACACATTTTGATGTTTAAGGGTTACATTCATGTGGTTAATAAGATCAGACCAGGATATGTAGTGAGTGAACCTGTATTATTGTTTGTGTGTGTGTGTGTGTGTGTCTGTCTGTGTGTCTGTCTGTGTGTATGTCTGTCTGTGTGTCTGTCTGTCTGTCTGTGTGTGTGTGTGTGTGTGTGTGTGTGTGTGTGTGTGTGTGTGTGTGTGTGTGTGTGTATCTGTCTGTCTGTCTGTCTGTCTGTCTGTCTGTCTGTCTCTTTGTGTGTCTGTCTGTCTGTCTGTCTGTCTGTCTGTGTGTGTGTGCGCGCGTGTGTGTGTGTGTGTGTGTAGCTCTGCCCGTGCTGCTGGATGTGGTCGGGGGTCCCGAGGGTCTTCCTGCAGACGAGCAGACACAGGAAATGCTGAGAGGGAAACTGCGCATTCTGCAAGCTGACAGCACCGAGGTCAACGCTCTGTTCATGGTACACACACACACACACACACACACACACACACACACACACACACACACACACACACACACACACACACTCCTGACATTTTACGCTGTACAAGAGTCCAGTTTCTCAACAAGTTATGAATGACTCGGTTTGTAAAGGCTGTCAGTCTGCTTGGTTTGCAGACTGTTAAAATGGTAGCTTAAACATAACCAATATATATTCAAAACCCAAAGAATAAGTTATAAAACAGAAACGAAAGGAAATCTAAATCTTCAAAATAGTTTGTGATTACATTGATGCGACTGATCCTTGCAGATCAATACCCTTTCACTAGTTATAAGTTAATTTCATATTGGTTGTGGTTGACTCTAAATATCTGAATCTCCAAAGAAACCCGTAAAAGGTTGGTCTCTGGCTTATTCCTGTCCCAGCTGGACTACGGTGATACCATTTATAGATTGGCCTGTCCCACTGTTTTGGCCAAACTTGACCCACTTTACCATGCTGCACTGCGTTATATATCAAATGCAGCCTATAGGACTCATCATTGCACACTGTATAGCCTAACTGGATGGTCCTCACTTACTATGCGTAGGATGCAGCACTGGTTTTTATTAAGGTATAAAGCCATTTTAGGTAAGCTTCCACTCTACATATGTGTCAGATTTGCTCCAGTTTGTGACTCTTACAACCTCAGATCCAGTGCCTGGATACGGGTCCAGGTTCCTGCTGTGCGGACTGAGGCTGGAAAAAGGAGTCTTTCTTATTATGGTCCTTGGTCTTGGAATGACCTTCAATCACGCCTTAAACTGAGGGCACTTGTCTCTATTTCATGTTTTAAATTGAAGTTGTCTGAAGTCCTCACCACCAGCTGCTCTTGCAGTAACAAGTAGTGTACTTTTTTTATTGTCCTAATGTGCACAATGTAGTGACTGCTTTTTCGTCTTTTGTTTTCTTTATGTTCTCTGTATTTTATATGTTTGTGTTATGTGTAACGTTGCTGCCTTCTTGGCCAGGTCAGCATTGAAAATGAGATTTTATCTCAATGTTTTTTATCTGGTTAAATAAAGGTTAAAAAAAAAAAAAAAAACTTCTTAAGCCACTCCTTAATAATACATTTATTTTTCTTTATTCTAGCTAAATTATACTATAATACATTTTGTGTTCTCTCTCTCTGTCTACAGGAGCTGTCTGCTCATCTGATCTCCATCAACTGTGAAGAAAATATTATTTTTGTCACATTCAAAACATTTGAAGAAATATGGAAGTTCACCACATATTACACAATTGGTAGGTATTTAAAATAAGGCTAAAGTGCAAAAGAGAGAAATGTTATTGTCATTTTTTGTTGTAATTGTATTTTGTATGTTTCTGACCTACTGTATGGAGTACTGGGTAGTCATGATAATGCTAATACCGCTATTGCTGCTGCTAGCAAACATAATGCCAGTAGTTATAGTTCAGAAAGTGTGTTAAAGAATAGGTCTGTTCATAGTATCACTTCTTCCTCCTGTGCTGCAGGTTTCCTGGGTCGCTGTATGGAGGATCTGTTGTTAGACCAGAGGTTTTGTCTCAGTTCTCTGGAGGAGGACATCAGGATCCAGGTCTCCATTGAGGAGGAGACCCTCAGCCTGATCTACAAAGGCATCCTCATGCAGGAAGGTAGGGGACAGCGCTAACAGTAGCTAATAGTGGCCTCTAAAAGGTGGGGAAAGTGGAAACATTACGTACCCAAGAGCTGTAATTAAACCAGTGATTTTGAACCACTGTGTTCAACACCAGTGTGTTATGAGGGATTGTCAAGTGTGCCGTGGGAAATTAACAAATTGCACTTAATCGGTCCCCAAATATATGATTAAGTTGCTGCAGATAGTTTGTTAAGCGTCTGTGCCTTCAATGTAGTGGCTGGCTAATGAAATACTCTTCCATGCCAGTGGGTGGCAGTAGGTAGCGTGATAATGATGTTAATTTAAAGGGGACCTATCATGCAAAATGCACTTTTGTACGTCTTTTATACATGAATATGTGTCCCCGGTGTTCCAGGGAACTCACCAAGTGTCAGAAAACACAACCCTCTCTATTTTCCTCCATACCCAAATCTCTAAAAAAGGGGCTGCAACGGATCTGATAAAAACTGATCCAGATTTGAACACTGTCCTGACGTCAGGACGGTGGCGCTACGGCTATTGGGCCAACTCCACCAATCAGGAGGAGACAGCCACGGCCATTGCCGTTCGAAAGCGCTGGAGACGCTGTAGTACAAAAAAAGTATAAATATGCCTTATATAGGTATGGTCCTACACTATATTATTCAAATATAGCATGATAGGTCCACTTTAAGACAGTAGAATTAAAGGTGGGGTAGGTAATTTTGGAGAAACCAGCTCGAGATCGCTAGAATTTGAAAATACACAACCGGAAAAAATCTGCCACTTCCTTACAGAGCCCCTCCTCCAACACACACGAACGCGCACATGACCAATGAGGGCACGAGGTAAGTTTGTGCACAGATGGAAGGCTGACAGGCAGGTAGGCCATCCAGTTATTTTAGCCGGGCCGGCTAAAATGATTGGTCGTACTTTTTACAGATGACATTTTTTTATGTATTTATTGTCAAAGCATTTAATATATTCATTGCTATCGGGACGTTAAGAGCATTCCATGGAATATAACAAAAAGTGTTTCTGATATAAATTACATACCCCACCTTTAAGTGATGTCGATGGAGACACACAGCGATGGATACATATTTGAAGATGAAAAGGGCAGAACTGGGTCCTGGACAAAAATCTGAATGATAGTCAACAGCAATACAAAATGAAAACGTGTCATTAAGTCACTTTAAAAAAAAGAAAAAAAGGTTGAAAAACACTGATTTGAACCAATAATGATCTTTTAACAATCCAGTATCACATGCAACTGACCATTTTAAATAAAGAAATATATGACATGCTGACAGTTCACATGGCTATCTTTAGGGTCTTTCTTTGCTAGCTGTAGCACCAACCAGATGTTCGACAGCTCCACCTCTGGAGGGGACCTGTACCTGGAGCAGGGGGACATAGCCCAGTTCGAGCCCCCCTTCCTGGGCTCAGGGTGGACCGTGCTCTGCCTGGCTGATGGAGGCCGAGGCACTGCACCCAGACCTGCTGTGGAGCCCGTCGTCCCTTTTTATCAGTGAGTCACATGATGGGCTCAATACAGTCTCATGTGATTTATGTCTCACTGATCTGTGAACAAACAGGATCGTATAACAATGATACGATCTGTCCACAGGTGGTTTCTCAAATCCTGTGCAGAGGGCATTTTAGTTGGTGATGGGAAACCCCCCTGTGACTTCCCTCTGCAGTTTGGTAAGTGCAGTTTATTTTCCCTCTAAAAATAAGATAAAGAATCTGTTTGAATCATGAACACACCTTTATATTGAGGGCTCAATTTGATTATACACGCTAGCTGACTCGGGCAAACGAGCTACAACAGCCCAAACACTACAGCTTCAGAAACAATGCAAATATCAAACCTTTTTCTTTATTGCAGGTTTTTTTTGGAATGCAGCATTTTGTATTTGCAGTGTTTCATTAATGTCACATTTTGCATGTTTTGTCAAGTTGGTGAAGATGTTTCTTAATTTAGAGGTCTTTTGGCACATTTGGATTTTCATATTTGCATTGTTTCTGAAGCTGCAGCGAGTTTCTCCTAAAGGGAGAGTTTTGGGCCGCTTTTGCGCGTTTGCACCTGTCAGCCATACTTACATATTACCTGAATCTTTTAAACGCGTTTCAATTTCTAACACTACTATCATTTCAAGATGCCTCTTCTTTACTTTAAACTTTAATCTCTTTAGTATTTCTTTGAACATTTTTGCCTTTTCCCCCTTTCTCCACAACTGAGATTTAAACTGCTTTTCACATTGGGTCTTCAACAATTCAACTGAGAGGAAATCCTCCCTCTGTAACGACTGTCCAACTGACATCTCAACCACTTTACCTGCACACACATCAACTGACACTTCAAGTCCTTTAAGGCCACAGATTTTAACATTTGAGTACAAAAAAAAATATTCAGCACTGAAAAAACGGAATCATTGACTTTAATTAAATGTACAACAAATGTCACCTAACTGTATTAGGTTAGTTGAAAGCAATAATATTAAGTTGAACCTATTGTTTTTTATTTAAACTTAATATTATTGCTTTCAACTAACCTAATACGGTTCAGTTTCTCCAGTGAGCTCTTCTGAAACCTCCACTGTACTTTATTGTAATGCAATTCTTCCATTTACACATTTTACGTGGCAATTTATCCAATCTCTTTTGTTCAGCCAGAGGAACCTGTCTTGCCACAATGGAGTACGATGCTGGGGGCCCAGATGAGCTGAGCGTGGCCCCTGGTGATCGCATCATCATCGTGGGACTTCTGGTGTCTTGTTTTGAGTGGTTCACAGGGAGGAAGGAGGCCACAGGAGAAGTGGGTCTGGTGAAGACTAGCCTGGTGGAACCCTCCACTGACGTTACCCAGTGAGTTTACCAATATCACAGAGTTAGCTGTTGTTAAATTGATTTGCAATAGAGTATAATATCTTTTTCTTACGTGGTCACCTTTCCAGGTCAGAAGATATTTTTTTGGATGGAGAGGAAAGAACACTCTTCAGTGTGCAAGAGGACAAAGTCATAGAGGAAACAACTGCGTTACTGAAGAAGAAATCCCAAAATGATACCGGTCAGAAATACAAACTTGGTGAGACAAAAACGCTGCAAACTCACAGGTCAAAAACCCAACAAGTATTCCAAGCAAAGTAATAATGTTGTCATTGCCTATAGAAAAACAAACCTTCTAAAACACCAGTTAGCCAGAAGGCTTTCATCATGTAGATGACATACATGTTTGTGTCAAATGTCATGGCAATCAGTCAGAAAGTGGTTGATAAGGTTCATTGAAGAATGTTGGTAATACTGAACAAAATCTCAAGGAATTGTCAAATATCAATCGGATTCAATCAGACTCATACCATGTCCAGATAGACAGGTGTTGAGGTTTCACGGGGGTTTCTCATAGGGCTGTGCGATTATGGCAAAAATCATAATCACGATTATTTTGGTCAATAATTGACATCACGATTATTAAATACGATTATTCATGACTTTGAAAACATCAATTTATTGAACTTTAAAAAAAATACAAATAATAATTTGAACAGTATCTTATAACTGTTGATTACCCTGAACGTATAATTCAACTGAAAAAACAATAAATAAAATAAATGATACATTTATATTTACATTTAAATAAATAATATCAAAATAATAAATACCAATAAACAAGATCAACAAATATTTTGGAGCGCACTTCAACAAGCTACTAAACATATGTAAATATGATAAATACAAATAAATGAGATCAAATATGTTGCCGTGCACTGTCACAACCTAGCAAAGCAAAATAATCGTTTTTTTCAATTATGTTGTTTTCGTAATTGTGGCAGGCCAAAATCGTAATTGCGATTAAAATAGGATGAATTGCACAGCCCTAGTTTCTCATTCTCTTTGTGTAATTTGTTTTGTTCCATCCCAGATACGATGAGTTGCCAAGACTCTGAGAAAAAAAAATCACGTATGTATTGACATCTACAGTAAATGTCATGTTAATATATCTAAAAGTCTTGTCCACTCTGTATTACATATTCTCTATTTCTGATTTTCATTTTGCAGTCGGCACTTCAAGCAAAGTTGACGCTCAGACTGACCTTAAGAGAAATATTCAGAGGATACTTGATCAGGTAAAACACTCCTCACCAGATCCCGTAGTGACCGTTAACGGGACTCTAAAGGAACCGCACCTTGCAACAGAATCAAAGAACCCCATCCCTCTGTGCTTCACGGTCCACCCAGTGGTCGAAGGAAACACCAACACGGAGAACTTCATCCCCCTCCTCTCTTTCCTGGAGGGACGAGACTACAGAGCAGAGTTTGGCGTCCTGTATGGACTGGGTTCAGAACTCCTCGCCTCCTCCGTCTTCACCGGTCACTCGGAAGAGGATGAGTTGATTGCCTTCCTGGGTGTTGCTAGGGAAACAGCCAGGAAGAAGCGACTCTATTGGCCGCACACTCGGTTGTGCTTTCTGTTGGGTAAGCTTTGTGCTGGGAGGTTGAAGTTCAGCCAGGCCCGGGTTTACTTGGAGGAAGCCCTCAGCGTGCCACGAGAGGGCTTCACGGACCTCAGGTTGTTGGCCAGCATCTACTCAAGACTGGTTCCCATTTACCTCCTGCAGAAAAATACTGAGAGTTTCTTTGCACTGGCCGAACGACTCGCTGCCTTGCTATTTGGAATCCCAGACTGCCTGGCATGTTTAGAAGACAACTCCGCTCTTAAATACATCCTCAAGAAAGCTGTTCTATCTCACAACCAAATGGCGGAGGCCCGGGCTTGTTACCAATTGGCGAAGCACCACTTGACTCATGCTGAAGGATTGCGAGTTGTTCCTTATCTTGAAAGACTACTTGTTCTTTGTGGTGAAGCTCAAAGGACTTGGGGGACCTCTCCCAGTCAGGAGTACCTCACACTGGGAAGGACCTACAGCGAACTCCAGCTCCCCCACCTCAGTGTCAGTTCAGCCAGGAGAGCTTCTCTGCAGCCCTCTGCTACACTGACAGACTGTCTCAGCAGCATGGCTCTAGCTATGGCCAATGTCAACAAACTGTATGGGATCACAGAACAGGAAGCGTCCATCCCACCTAAAGTGGCTCCATATTTACACCAAGCCCTTTCTTCTATCCAAGGAGAAGGAAGTGATCGATACCATGTTCTGGGTCATCGGATTACTGTTTGTCTCAGCCAACTGTTTTGCAAGAACTCAATGGTTGGACACGCCATCTGCCGCATGCATACTCTGATCAACAACAACGGACCCTCACTCTGCATCTCCGTCCCAGAAAGAAACAGTGCCCTCATCTGGCTGGCATGGCTTCAGATTGACAATCATCAGCCAGATGTTGCTTTGGATGTCCTGGATTTGGTCCTAGCTTCCATGCCAGAACACTGCACGACCCCTCAGGAAGGTCTGTGGAAGTCTTTATGTGTTCAAAATAACAGTCAGAGGGGTTGAGAGGGGGAAAGTAAATGCTTCTAGTATCTAAGGAGCAACTTACAATTTTGAACTACAGTCAAATACACCATTGTAATTTTCATTGTTCACTGAAACCAGCAATCTAGTACCTTGCTAACAAACTAAGCTAGTCTTAAGATTGATAAACATTGTAATTATTGCTTTCTATGAATGATTGCCCTGGTATTCTAGCACTATCTCTGAGGCTAAAAGTTGACCATGTCCTTTTCCCTATTTAGTCCACAGAAAAGTATTGGATCCTTAGAACAGTTATTACTTAACAGTGATTTCGATTTTGCAAAAGTACTTCCTGGTTAAACATCCAACCAAAGGAATCATTTAAAGTGGACCTATCATGCTATATTTTAATAATATAGTGTAGGACCATACCTATATAAGGCATATTTATACTTTTTTTTTTTCAAAATACCAAACAGATCATGCATTTTAGCCATGCCTCATTTTGCTCAATTTGACATTTTTTAGCTCTGTTTTTGCAAGGGCAGATTCTGTGAGAACAGCACCACCTACAGGCCTGGCATATGTACTACAGCGTCTCCAGCGCTTTCGAACGGCAATGGCCGTGGCTGTCTCCTCCTGATTGGTGGAGTTGGCCCAATAGCCGTAGCGCCACCGTCCTGACGTCAGGACAGTGTTCAAATCTGGATCAGTTTTTATCAGATCCGTTGCAGCCCCTTTTTTAGAGATTTGGGTATGGAGGAAAATAGAGAGGGTTGTGTTTTCTGACACTTGGTGAGTTCCCTGGAACACCGGGGACACATATTCATGTAGAAAAGACGTACAAAAGTGCATTTTGCATGATAGGTCCCCTTTAACTCCAATATTGAAATGCTATCATGTGCTGCTCTTTACTCGTGCACAAAGCAGTCACAGTATAGGTTTGAACTGAAGAAATGTGCAGACTTTTTAAAGATGTGTCTTCATTAAAACACAATAATCCGTGTGAGGGCAAGGCACACACCGATTTGAAAACAGGCTATCTCCAAACAGCTGAAGTCTCTAATTGAACATACAGGTGTGGTCCTCAACATGCGTGGTGTTGCACTTCGATACATGGGTGACCTCCGGAGGGCAGCAGAGAGCTATCAGGCTGCTGTGGACATCTGCCAAGAGTATGAGGACATGCCAAACTGGGCTGTAGCTCAGGCTAACCTAGGTAAGATAGGATAGACTTCTAGACACATGAATGGACTCTGGTTCTGTGGGTGACTGTTGTTCTTCTTGAAGGGCTGTTGTGTCTGAAGGCTGGAGCTAAAGGACTAGCCCAGAGACACCTGACGGAGGCTGTGCAGCTCTTCTCTGAGCTGGAGGAAGGAGGGCATGAGGCTGACTTCATCACCGTGCTGCTGGAGCTGGGTCAGCACTATGTGAAGCAGCAGCAGCTGGACTTTGGGAAAGGATGCTACGAGTGGGCTCTTCTGCTAGCTATCAACGCTAACCTGCTAGACTGTAAGTGTAGACACGAGATTCAAGACTGTATTGTCATGTGCTCAGCAGCTACAGCGTAGATATTGCAATGAAAAACTGAAGTCACAGCCAGGCTCCTCCAACAGAGCAACATGGATATATATAGGACATAAAACAAATAAAACAGATAAAATAGTGCAAGAGAATGTTTTGAGATGTGCAAGTAAATACAAATAAAATAGAAATAGTGCAAGAAGAGTCTATATACAAGTACATGGAATAAGATATATTAGATACATAATTTGCAAGATGCAAACAGATGAATGTTTATGAATGTTCTTTAAAAAGTTCACACAAACACGTTATTTAGATTTTGCAGAGGTACTTCCTGGTTCAACATCCAACCAAGGTTTTATTATGATTTGTGTCTTCAGAGGAATTGAACTGCAGTATTTAAATGCTATTATGTGCTGCTCTGTACTAATGCACACTGCAGGAGCACAGTAGGTTTGAACAGAAGAAATGTGCCAAGGCAAACACTGATTTGAAAACAGCCTATTTTAAGTCAAAGTCTTTAATTGAACACAAAGGTGTGGTCCTCCACATGCATAACGTTGCTCTTCGATGCATTGAACTGAACTGGACTGTCCCTCGTTGCCAGGCCAGCTCTCTGCGACCCGACACCTGAGCCTTCTGTACGGCTGTGAGAGCCCGGACCAGGCCCAGTGTATCGTCTACAGCCAGCACCAGGTGGCGCTGCTGCAGAGCACAGGGGACCGGGGTCAGGAGGGGGAGGCACTGGAGGCCATCAGCCAGCTGTTCCTCAACCTGGGCACAGAACGGTGTGTGTGTGTGTGTGTGTGTGTGTGTGTGTGTGTGTGTGTGTGTGTGTGTGTGTGTGTGTGTGTGTGTGTGTGTGTGTGTGTGTGTGTGTGTGTGTGTGTGTGTGTGTGTGTGTGTGTGTGTGTGTGTGTGTGTGTGTGTGTGTGTGTGTGTGTGTGTGTGTGTGTGTGTGTGTGTGTGTGTGTGTGTGTGTGTGTGTGTGTGTGTGTGTGTGTGTGTGTGTGTGTGGAGCTAGGGTTAGGGTCTGACCTAACGTTTTCTTTTGCTAATCTTTGCCCCTCTCAAAGATGTCTTTTTGAAAATGTATGATCAAAAATCTTTTAATTACATTTCCACATTGCATACCTACATGCTAAAACTTACATATTTTTTTAGATTGTTTATGTTCGCACCACCAGATAACAAAGCAAATTCCTTGTACTGTACAGTATGTGTAAACGTACCTGGCAATACTCCTGATTCTGATTCTTAAAGAAGTGGATACACACAATGACGATATGCTATCATGTAGCAATGAAAAGCAAAGTATAAGCATGTACAAATGAGAGAATAGTTTGCACTGATTATATGTTCAAAGAGAGTCTGTAACAGAAAAATATGATTTTTTTTCAAGTAGGGTATACACCATTGTAAGCAATAAAGCCATTCATTTCGTTTTTAGATGGCTTGAGCAGTTTCCTTTGAAGTGGGACAAATATGAAATAAATGTATCATCAAAGCTGTTAGTTTGAATGTATCACCAAAGAGTTTAAAGTTTGGAGCAACAGAACTAATCAATGTTTTTAAACCTTTTCAGGGCCTACAGGGCGGCTCTCGACTACACCAAGACCAATCTGGGTATCTCCATCGATCTGGGCTGCAGAGAGAAGGAGGCGTACGGCTGGCTGCAGGCGGGGAGGATCTACCACCTGGTGCAGCAGACGGAACTGGTGGACCTGTACGTTCAGGTCAGAAATCACGACTATGAAATCTATTAGTTCAGAACAATCTACGAAACATTTTACAGTCATCATAATACTTAAAGTGGACCTATCATGCTATATTAATATAGTGTAGGACCATACCTATATAAGGCATATTTATACTTTTTTTTTTTCAAAATACCAAACAGATCATGCATTTTAGCCATGCCTCATTTCGCTCAATTTGACCATTTCTAGCTGTGGGCAGATTCAGTGAGAACAGCACCATCTACTGGCCTGGCATATGTACTACAGCGTCTCCAGCGCTTTCGAACGGCAATGGCCGTGGTTGTCTCCTCCTGATTGGTGGAGTTGGCCCAATAGCCGTAGCGCCACCGTCCTGACGTCAGTGAAATGTTCAAATCTGGATCAGTTTTTATCAGATCCGTTGCAGCCCCTTTTTTAGAGATTTGGGTATGGAGGAAAATAGAGAGGGTTGTGTTTTCTGACACTTGGTGAGTTCCCTGGAACACCGGGGACACATATTCATGTATAAAAGACGTACAAAAGTGCATTTTGCATGATAGGTTCCCTTTAATATAGTACAGGTTATTCCACCCAAAGAATAGAATATCGTATTTTCTCAACTAAATGGAGAACTGTAATATTTGTGGTCGTTGTCAGGTAGCGCAGGATGTCGCTCTGAGTACAGGAGACACTCAGTTCATCCTGAAGCTTCTGGAAGCTGCTGGAGACATTTTCTTCAACAGCAGCAGGGACCGGGACAAAGCCATCACCTTCTACAGGGTATGGTCTGAAAGAAATCAGAGTTGATTTGAATCACATTTTAGCCGTTAAGGTTAGCCCGTTCACTGTTACTGTATGACTTTTATTGTTCAGAAAGATAATGGAGTTACTGTTAAATAGATTATAATAGCCTGTGTGTATTCCACCCTGCAGGACCGCGCTCTGCCCGTCGCAGTGAAGAGCAACAGTGTCCGCTCCAGGCTGAGGCTGTGTAACAAGCTGACTGAACTGATGCTCAGTCTCAAGCTGTATGGGGAAGCTGTGGAGTTCGCTCAGACTGCACTGGACATCAGTATCACACTGGGTACGGAACACTTCAAAAACAACCTTTTTTTAATTTCTATAGGTTAGTTTAGGATTGTAATTATAAAAAATGTGTTTTGAAGCCAGACATATTCATAATACTGTCATCCACCTGCGATATTATTTATGAAATACTACTACTACTACTACTACTACTACTACTACTACTACTACTACTACTACTACTATTACTACTACTACTACTACTACTTCTACTAATACTACTACTACTACTACTACTACTACTACTACTACTACTGTACTACTACTACTACTACTACTACTACTACTACTACTACTACTACTACTACTACTACTACTATTACTACTACTACTACTACTACTTCTACTAATACTACTACTACTACTACTACTACTACTACTACTACTACTACTGTACTACTACTACTACTACTACTACTACTACTACTACTACTACTACTACTACTACTACTACTACAGTATGCTAATTTACATAGCAGTTATATTACATTTGTGTTGTAGTAGTTAGTACTAAAACACAAAGACCTCAAATAACTAGTAAAGGGAATTCATTATTGGCTGAGCTTTTGTGCTGCTATCATAAAGTGTATGTCATGCCGTATTATTTTATTTTAGGAATAAATAACATACAGGTGATTTAGCTAGTTTTAGAAAATTGTGAGTAGTAGAGCTTAAAATGTTAAGTTAAACCTTCTGGTGGCATGAACAGCAAATCTAAAGGGTTCTATTTGAAGTGGTGTTCAACGGATTGAATGACAATTGTTTAATTGATATTGAGGTCTCTTTTGCAAATGGAAAGTTAGATTAGATCAGATTAGAAGCATTTATTGTCATTATACAATGAGAAGAGTAAAGCTACTCCTTTTAAGGTGCCATCAAAACATTCAGAATAGACAACATACATCAGCAGCATTCATACCTACATACTGTAAGTGATCCATCTTCTGGGGACCATGAATGTTATCAGCAAATGTAATGCTCATTGGATTAGATTTGTGTGAAAGAATGACATTACAAAATCTTATGGTATTGGCAAGTAGTTATTTGATATCGGAACTACTTAACTGATATACAATTGAACTTACAAATACTGTGTCAGTTCAAAGCCATGTGCTATATCTGAATGATTAAGTCTACCTTTGGTTCTACATAAAGGTGATAGTCTGAATGAGCGAGTGGCTCACCACCGCCTGGCCTCCCTCTTCCACCGTCTGGAACAGTTTGAGCTGGCTGAACACTATTACCTGAAGACCCTGACCCTCTGTCCAACCCCTCTGATGTTCGATGAAGAAACACTGTACTACGCCCGGGTGTACCAGACACTGGGGGACATCATATTCTATGACCTCAAGGTAAGAGATTACAGATTAATCTTTTCAAAAGGATATCCCTGCCAACATGTGAAATGTGGTACTTTTGATTAGAAGTCATGATAACCAACCCTAACCCTAAACCACATGTTTACTGCCACCAACATGCAGCATCATAGTTTGAGGAAAGTACAGGTCTACAAGTTGCGTCATGTCCAAGCATCCATATGTGACGAGTTGGTAATGACAAAGGGTGTGATTGGGATTCAAAGAGGGTCATTTACTTACTCATCTAGTTCCTGAGATGAGACCTGAGGCCCTGTACTAACCAGGACTGTTTATTGTTTCCAAGCTGGTCACCAATACACTCCAGAGTCACTTGGGTGTTGTTCAGAGTTATAACATATTTTCAGACATAAATTCGTAAAATAAACCGACTTTCAACATATGAGGACATCATTTTTTCAAAAACGACTTCCTGTTACAAGACAATACTTAGCTTGTATACTTATTAGGTCCTACTTATCCCAAATAGATAGGAGAAATTAAAAAGTGCATACTAAAAAAAAGCTCGGGCTTCAGGAGGATAAGGAAGCATTATATATCTGTTGTAATTGATTGTCTTTTATTGTGATTGTAGTAATGTGTTTTTATGTGATTGTAGTATTTATTACATGTACAGCACTTTGGCCCGACCAAAAATCGCTTTTAAATGTGCTTTATAAATAAACTTTGATTTGATTTGATTTGAAAAAGCAAATGTGATGCCATTGTGTTTCCTTTATCTGTAAATCTCAGGTTTCTTCTTCTTCATATGCTTCCTTGATATGCTGTGTGACCAAAAGCTACAAAAAAAGTGTACAGTGTGTCACCACATTGCCACCACAGTCATGTCCAGTGAAATTAAGATAATCTGCCAAAAATGGGGCATTATTGGGGCAAGTCCCAAGTCCCAAGCATTCTTTATGAAATACAAAGACCATTGTCACTCAATGACTCATGAAGGGCTGTTACCACCCTACACTTTGCTGTTCTCTCCACAGGACCCTCATGACGCTGCAGGCTACTACCACCTGGCCCTGGCTGCAGCCATGGATCTGGGCAACAAGCGGTCCCAGCTGCAGCTGTGCACCCGCCTGGCCACCATCTACCACAACTTCCTGACCGACCGGGAGCTCTCGCTCTTCTTCTACCAGAAGGCCAGAGCGTTTGCTGCCGAGCTGAACGTGAGGAGGATCAACATCTCTCCGGATCAGCAGCTGAGCAGCGCCTCGCAGTACAAGACCAACGGACCATAGGGAAGGACAATCTAACATTTTACAAAATGCAACAAAAACCTTTGCAGATGGCTGGATGAACTGTTTTTCTGTACGGAAATATGGTTTTATGATAAGCCTTGCATTAAGACTGCAGCACTGACTCTGATCCCAAAGGAAAACTATCTTCAAGACTTTATGGGATAATGATGTCCATTCTAATCATCTATATTGTGGAATCGTGCATACACAAATTCATATTTCTGAAATCAACTTTACTCAGGTCTTTCTTTGTTAATCCACAGGGAATAAATACATTTTGTATACATAGCAGAAAGAAGTGAAAGCTGTAATGTATATTATTGCCTTGAAAATATGGTAGGAGTGTAAGGTGAATTTAAATGTTTCTAGTTCTTGAAATTATTGTGAATGAATGAAAAGAGAAATTCTGATTTGACCTGATGAGCCATAAATACAAGACTGTCATCTGCATACAATGATATCTAATGTGTTCTGGTACTTGTTTGGATAACTCTTAGCTGAACACCTTCTTACAGGTCATGAGGCTCTATGACCAAAGTGAAAGAGACAGGACATTATTGTGTTCTGTACTTCTGCCTATGGAAATAACTGAGGTGATGACAATTGACCAATACAAATGCTTCTTGAAATGCACAATGTAACGTGACTCAATCAATGGAACTACTTCCAGAAGAAAATAAATTATTGCAGTGTTCTAAATGTTTACTTCCAATCTACTTGGTCAAAGACTTTAAAGGTCCCCTATTATACTTTTTTTCATCAATATATTATAGGTCTCAGATATATACAAAACATGTCTCTGAAGTGTTTGGCTCGAAATAGCAAAGGGACCTCACATCCTCTAGGGGGGTCCGGGAGATTTTCTTTTTAAATATTGAAGTTAAAAGCATCAATCTGGTGCACTTTGAGAGCAACATTAAGAGATCTATGGATACATCTCTCAACACCCATATGAAACAGAACTGTAAGCAGATTTACTTTTCTTTATAAATATTTTATAAATCACTCCCCTTTCAAACTGTATTCTTGTTTATTAATAACAACTTTTTTTTACTGTCATATAGTATTTTATACCAGTTTTTCATTTATTCTCTTGTTTTTTTATAACTATAATGATCATATAGAGGTGTGGCTTTACCTCACTGAGCTGAGGTTATTTGAGCCTCTCAGTCTGTCAGGAGAGAGCTCTCTTCCACCTGGTTGTAGAAACAGCTCCTTATATCCATTAGCATAGCTAGCTAACCAGATGCAATAATCCCCGGTACCTCTCTCTCTCTCTCTCTCTCGCTCGCTCGCTCACACAAAATACGCTCATGCCACACACACACAGAGCCCAGCTTGAGTGACACACAAAGACCCAGAATTAGTTGTACTGTTCTGTATCATATTATTTTCGATGGCGTTATTGTATGATCAGTATGACAGATGAACAGATCGCAACTGGGCTTACAACTAGCGACACAGCCACGCAAAAAATGCGGCGTGTGTACAGCTCCTTATGGATTGGGTACTGCAATTTTCGGCGTTCTGGTGCGCTCCGGCAGCACTACACCACGTGATGACACGTTACGCTCGTGTTGTGTTCAAGGAACCTTTCCTTAGACAGGGAAAACAGGCAGTCGCTTGTTTAATTCTGTTGCGGTCTAGATTTCTTACATTTTTCGTTTCCTTCTGCACTGCGTGGCATGCATGGCTTCCTTCAGCAGGTAACGGGGAGACGCGCTCTGGCGGCGGTCTCGTTCAGGATCCGAAAATACAATTAAAATATTTTGCACACTTATTCCACTTATTCCTAGTGTGCCACTGGTTACGGGAAATAAGGAGCCACTCCACATGCCCGTCTGAGAGATATTTGGTTAGAAAGAACACAATGGTGCTCTAGGAGGAGTTTCAGGTGATAAGGTGGGGGGGGGGGGTGTTACCTTGGTTGGTGATTGGCTAATGGTTACTCAAGCCAAAAATACATTATGACATCATAAAGTGGCCAAAATCTGATCAGCTCATTTTCAGACAGGTTCTTATATAAATGGATCAGGACAAAAAGAGAGAGAATTTTTGTTCCTGAAACTTTCAGAGTCTCTTTACACAGAGGGGACACATGTTGATGTAGAAGAGACATGAAGAAGAGGGGACACATGTTGATGTAGGAAAGACATGAAAAAGTGGATTTTGCATAATGGTGACATGTAAGATTTCTGATAGGGTTAGGGCTAGGGTTGTCCATATTTTAGTGTTATGTTCAATAAAGACAGTGTACAACAGAATTACAAAGTGGACATTGGTTCTGGAAATGTGTTTTTCCACATGCCATATTGACATTAAGGGTATGTTAGGGTAAGGGCTAGGTAACCCCAACACTCAAAACTCAAAACATTACATCCTACATTAGAATTCATCTTAAATTAAGAGCTGCATTGGGGGGTAAATACACAAATGATGGTCCTTTATGGAAACAGCCCTGGTAGAGGTCTACTACGCTCTATATTCCCTTAAATGTATGTTTTAAGTCTTTTATGAGCATTTTTACTCAGAGCCGACAGTCTATGTCCTCACAAGGTCTCGTTATTCCGAGCTCCAGTGATGGAATAAGAGTGTAAAAGCATCAACACTGCCAGAAGACCTGTCATAAGTGCTGTCTGGAGTGTAACACCTGCTGTCTGTCCCTGTCTCAGCACCAGGAACCATCTGAACAAACACGTCCTGCTCTGGGTTCTAGACGAGATTTCAAATGAGCGTAGGAGCAGATGTGGGTCTTCTCTCTTGGAAATATCATTAAAGCATTGTGTTACACTAACACAGCAGACAGACCGTTCCTTAATGACCCTCACTGCTCTCTACACTCAATTTCACTGCTGAACTTCTGAATATGTTGAATAATGACCTTTAATAAGTCAAGGAGTGATGTGCATCTGGCCATGAGATAGTGCTAGGTCACTTTCTCAGCAGACTGCCGGCTGGACTTTCAAAAGAAACCCAGCAGCAAAATGGAAACACATCTGCTCAGACTGACCTGACCTCAGTCACCTCTGGGGAGATCTCCAGTGACCTTAGACTGGGTGAGAGCTGCACATTTGAGTCAGAATCATTCTTCTTTTGGAGTCGTAACTCAGGGAAATCTGAACATAGAGACATGAAACATAAATCAGTCACCTAGGATATTATTATCCCAGATGTCCAATGTATCTGCTCACGGAGAAAATACCTGAAAGTCATCACTTTATTACGTTTTCAAAGTAACACAGTTATACTGTAGTTGTCTGAACATAGTTCATTGCAAACAGGAACAGCCAACAGCTAATTAGGAACTTTTTTAAAGGTACCAATTCAACAAAATGTAAACACAATTAAGCCACAGGACTACAAAGAAAACACTTTTACTACTAACTAGCTAACATTAGAACTATTTAGATAAGCTTTTACAGGGTTTTTGGATGCAATCAAACTTTGTGTTCCCCCCCTTATGCCTCCTGATGCAGCTAATCAGATTCACTTGCCCTGCACACCTGCATCACATCTCATCATCAGCTCTGAGAATATGAACCCCAGCTCTTCACTCATTCCTGGTTTGACGATTGTCTTCATGGTACTGATACCTTTTATCCGCTTGAATTGTGCGTTCAAGTACCTATTTCTTGTGGTTCAAACGGCTTACCTTTTTACCAGTGTTTCTAAATCCCACCCTGCCTGCCATGTTGCCAGTCCCCAGCTCCCTCTGGATTCCTATCTTTATTCTCTGCAACTTAACATCAGAAGTCGATCCCTTGCATTTTGGCTCCCCATGTTGATCGCAACAAAAAACGAAAGATTCCAAGATGCACGGCTTTATTGTCAGATGTATCGTGTATAGTAGCTACAGTGCAGATATGGCAATGAAAGTCCGAGGCTCCTCCAACCATGCAACATAATATATAAGACATAAAACAATAAGAAAATTAAAACGTTTTAAAATAGTGCATAGTCAAAAAGAGTGGAATAGATTAGATTAAAATAATGTAGATTATGTTGCAGACCAATGTGCAAGTTATGCAGATGAAATCAACTATATACATGTCAGATAAATAAATAAATACAATAAACTAAATAATGTAGAGAATGTTGTAAGTGACCAAGTAAAGGCATCTATACATATATAAATATAATAAGATATACAAGTACAGAATGTACATTTAAATATTGTACAGTAAAATGAAATGGAGTTTATTGTAGTGATAACTATTAAGATAAATAAATGGTAAGATGCAAACAGATGAATGCTTTATGGAGGCACTTTACAGAGCTCAGGTTAGCAGTCAACTTGAATGAAGATGAACCATATCATGAACATGTGGCAACTTGAAACTTATGTCAGGGAAGCTTTATTGAAAGCGTATGTCTGCTACAGTGTAGTTCTTGTTCTGATCAGTGGGTGGCACCAGAGTGAGGATCCATCCTCCTGCATACCTGTGAGTAGTGGCTTTAATTATAGCACAATAACAAAAACACACAAGTAGTTTGGGTTTAGGCCTTCAGGCTTGAGAAGGGCTTAAAACATTAGCAATAACGTTTCAAATAGTTAAATAAATACTACCAAGGGCTCTCTCTTCCCTTCAGAGAGGGAACAAGGAGCCCTGTGTTTCCTCAAGTGACAGACTCTTCCAAATAAACACGCCCAGGGCTGAGTGAGAGTCACGTCTCTCACCCTCTGTCTGTGCAAACAAACTCCGGCCATCCGTGAGCAGCCATCCTCCCCTCTGTGACCATCAGGAAATAAAAACAGCCTCACGTCTGCAGTGTGTGTGTGTGTGTGTGTGTGTGTGTGTGTGTGTGTGTGTGTGTGTGTGTGTGTGTGTGTGTGTGTGTGTGTGTGTGTGTGTGTGTGTGTGTGTGTGTGTGTGTGTGTGTGTGTGTGTGTGTGTCTGTGTGTGTGTGTGTGTGTGTGTATGTGACATTGTTACTTAGTGAGGTCATTTTGGACCGAGGGAAATTCCACTTTTTACGAGCTGAGTCTTGTGTGTGTATATCTGACCATCGCTCCATGCGGTTGTGATAACAGCAGCTTCATGTATCTGGGGCCACGATGAGAGAGGCTGAGACAGGTGACTGAAAAAACACATCTGAGGGTGAGAAACTCATTAGAGAGGAGGTGAGAAAGATCTGATACCCCCTCATGGCAACGACTCAATAGTTTGTTTTCTTGGATAACTGTTTAAAATTAAAGGAAATATTGATATTTGAGTTGATAGAACATAGTAGGCATGATTCTGAGAAAACACTTTGGAAAACAAGGTAATGAAGTTGGAATCTTGAGAATGTTTCTTTATTAGCAACCACAGCTGCTTTAGGTTTTCTCCCTACTGAAGGTATGAAAACAAAAAGCTGAAATCATATCTGGAGTAAATTCACAAGTCCTTTTAGTGTTTATTTAGAAGGCACGTGCAGTGGAAAAGCACCAACAACACGTTATTTCAATGCACTAAAAAC